GGCATTCCCATACCCTGGAGCTCCCTGGGCTTAGAGGCTCCACTGCAGGGACTGCTGCAGAAGAGGGGAACCTGTGTGGTCCCCTCAGCTTGGCATGGAAGGGCAAGGGGAAAGGGCCTGCGGATGGTCGGTGGGAGGCTCGGTTTGTTGGCAGCCATATCTGCTTGCTGACAGTTTGCCTCGTGGTGGGGGTCTTACTGTTGTAAAAGTCTCTCTTGTTCCTTGCAGCTGCATGACATTTACAAGCACATTCCTGGCTGCCACAAGGTCCAGCAGACCACGTTCAGGTGAGTAACTGGGGAGGAGACCTCATGTGCGGGCTGAGTTGCCCCAGGGGCTCTGCTGACAAGGGAGTGCAGGGGAGGGCCGGGGTGTAAGTGTGATGCCGAAAGGCAGTGGGTCTGTGTGCTGTTCCCCAGCACAAGCATGAGCCTGGTGCAGTGCTGAGGTTCCTTCACCTGCGCAGGAATATGCAGAGCAGGACTCACAGGAGTGAGCTCCCTTTGCAGGCAATCTCTGCTGCCTCTGGCTATGTAGCTGAGACCCCTCCCCCCAGGTTGGAGGGAGAGGGGTGGGTTGCACGGTGCTCAATGGGAAAATTCCCACTGCCTTCAAAGGTTTCAGCCCTGGCAAAGTTAGGAGTGCTTGGTGCAGGATGGAGGAGTCTGAAGATACCAGTACTCTGCAGGGAGTGTTATCCACTCTCCATGGCTCTGAGAGGATGTGATCCCCCCTCCGGGCATGCTCCTTATTGCATTGGGAAACCTGAGACTGAAGGGAGCGGCCAGACATGTGGGAACATGTGATGGGGACATGGGTTCTGGAGGATGGGTTGGCACCGGGCCCACAGAGGAGCCCGTGGAGCCGCTGCCATAGCTTGGACTTGCAGAGGACTGTGATTCATGCAGAGCTTTGTCTCCTCGAATGTGTTAATCACTCTGGTTGGTTTTCTTCCCCAGGGTACAGCCCAATTCTGGGAAAAGGTAAGTGGATCTTGCAGCCCCCTCTCTTGCTGCTTCTCTGTCTTTGGGAGGGGTGTCTGCAACCTTGCGTGTGCAGAGTGGCTGGTTTCCCCCCCCCCTCTAGCCCCTCCAGCTGCTGCACAGCAGCAATGTGAGAAAAGCAAACCTGGCTTCAGCATCTACCCCGTTTTCTCTTTGTACCGGTCACAGGCAGGATCACACAATTGTGGACACTGTGCTCACTGCCCCTCGCTCAGCCAAGTCAGAGATCGTCAAAGTGACGGAAAAGCACGTTTCCCACGAGGCTTTCAATGACCTGAAGGTGTCACCGGGCTATTACACTGTGACTTCAGATCAAGGTAGGGAGCAGACCCCAGCGCTGCCTCCTGGCCAGGCAGGGGGCATCTGCCACCTCTCACCATCGCCCTTTCCCCCTAGATGCTTATGGGATGGTGGAGTTCCAGGAGGCTGTGGAGCTGGTTGATGTCCGTGTCCCGCTCTTCATCAGGGAGGATGATGACGATGAGAAGCAGCTGCAGGTGGAGGCCATTGATGTCCCCACTGGCATTGCAGAGATTGGACGCAGGCTCGTCAACATCACCATCATCAAAGAACAAGGTGAAGGGCTGCAACCATGGCACAAGACGAAGGGATTTTGTGTGTCCAATGTCCAGAGAGACTCGCGCACCTTCCAAGGAAGGCACAGTCTGCGTGTTTGAGCTCTTCCAGATCACAGGCCAGAGACTTGCTTGGTGACTCTTAAGTTATTTGCGTCTGAACTAGAGCATCTTTTAAAGCATCCAAGGAAGGGTCATCACCTCTGGTGACAGAGACCCAAACGTGTGGCCCCCACAGATTTAGATGTTACCATTTCCACAGCTGGAGAGGCAGATCCAGGGTTGACCATATCCCTCCACTGCTCCAGCAGCTGCGCAGCTTGCTGGAATAATGTAAACACCCTTTGCTCGGCACAGGTGGATGTCCCCAGTGTTGTGCCTCTGCTTCCTATCGGGTTGTTCTGAGCAGGGAGCAAGGGTTAGGACTGTCAAAGTCTTTAGCCCCTGCAGCAACCTTTTACACAAAATTTGCACCCAAGGGTGATATGAACGCTGTTTGGAGGGACGACTTCTTCATGGTTTTAATGTATTCACTTCATGTATTTGCTTTACATATTTCTTCTCTCTTGCCCCTTCCAGTCAGCAGCCTCATCACCTTCTTGCAGCCAACCTACTCCCACAGCCGTTTTGATAAGGTGGCCAAGATCCCTGTCATCCGGGAGATCATAGACGATGGGAAATCCCAAGTCACCTACAGGACCCGAGATCTCACCGCCAAGAACGGCAGGGTAAGGAGCGCAGAGGGCTGGGAAGGAAGCAACTCTAGGTCTGCAGAAGAACAGTGAATCAGGCTCAGAAAGGGGACAGGGATGGGAAAGGGGTGATCCGAGGCTTTGAGCCTAGCACAAGGGCAGACATGCTCCAGTTCTGCCTTCTGCCCTCGCTCACTCGGCCTCAGTCTTCCCACCAGAGATAGTGGGCACCAGCTGCCCTCTGAGCTGTGAATACTGGGAGGCAAGGTTCACTGGCAGATGAGGGGAAGCTCACGGGGAACCACCTTACGGATGCTGTAGACTATAATCACACTCCTGTTCCTTCCCCTGCAGGACTATGTCTTCACAGAGGGTGACCTGGTCTTTTACCCCGGGGAGACTCGGAAGGAGGTACAGGTCCCATTGCTGGAGCTGACAGAGATAGACACCCTTCTGCACAACCGCCAGGTCAAGCAGTTTGCCATCGACCTCCTCCACCCAAAGAACGGCGCCAAGATCGGTCAATACTCCCAGGCCACAGTGACCATCGCTGACCCAGGTAGGGACCAGTAGCCCAGCTGGCAAGAACTGTGCCTGCAAGGCCAGGCTGGCATGGTGGCAGGAGGTGTGGGGTCACCATGGCATGCCACGCCAGGGCAACACGTGGAGCACACTGCAGATCCGAGCTCCAGCCCTGCTTCTCCCCCCAGAAACAGAGATTAGGATATTCATCCAGTTCTGATTGGTAGATTTGGGCCTCCCTCTAGAGGCAGTAGTGTGTATAGACAGTGGGTGGGAAGACGCAGGGTAAACTGCATTGCAAATAGCTTGGGTTCTTCCTTCCTTTTCCTTGAGGGTCGGAATAAAAAGCTGCAACGTTGGAGGAGAGCTGGGCCTTGCCGGAGGCTATGTAGAGGTTCCTGTGGCTGCACAGGCAGCCAGGCTCTAGAGTATGCAAGAGGCATCCTCAGAGCTGTAAGAGTTGTCATCAAGTGGGTTGATAACGTGAAGGTATTTATCATGGCACTGGCCATGAATGCTAGGGATGAAAGGAAGACTCCTGTCACTGAAGCAATCAGAAGAGCTTCCTAGGGCAGGCACTAGGGGTAAAGAGGCTCCTCGGTAGCTCTTGAATGGACTTGGTGAGCTTCTGAAAGATGCATCTGGGTGACTCAAGGTGGCTCTGCCCTTCTCATGCTCTTGTCCCAGATGCCCAGTGCAACCTGTGAAGATGTTGAAGCATTATTAAAGAATCAAGAAATGCATTCAGACAGAGCTAAAGATTTCAGAGGCAAGAAGCTGCTCTCCCCATTTTTTCCTACCTGGACAGAAGCAGCGATGCTCAGTCATTACGGTGGGAAACGCAGAACTTGTGGTTCTGCACCAGCCTCTTGTGCCAGCTTGCGCCTAGCTTTAGGGGATGTCATCCTCTGTTGCCTCAGTTTTCCTTCGCTATGATGAGACTCTATTCCTCAGGAACGCTTTGAGTGGTTCGAACAGTAACAGCCAGGCAGTGCTGGGGAAGAGACATGCTTCCTTCTTTTCTTCCGGGGGGGACCAACGCTGACCTGTGCCCTTTCCTCTTTGTGTCTGCAGAGGTGGTAGATGGCGTCCCCTCACTGGCTGGCCAGAGCCAGGTTGCCCAGTCTCCCAAAGGCCGCCTGAATGCACCGCTCAATCCCAATGCCCAGGCTCTCAGCTCCAGGAAAATCCGCTTCAGCTGGTTTCCTCCTCCAGGGAAACCTCAAGGGTACAAGGTAAGGGGTGAACAGATCGCAGAGGACCCATTTCTGTGGGTATTTCACACCACACACAGCCAGTCATTCATGCTGAAGGGGCAGGGAGAGAAGGCCCAAAGAGGGAGCAAGCTCTCAGCTCCTGGCTCCCCTTCATCCCCAAGGACCATTGGGTGGATGTGGGATTTGCAGGTAAGGTTTCTTGGCAGGTCCATCCCCCTTTCCATCACTTACCACTAAGCAAAGCTCGAGAAAGCTCTAGAGAAAGCATTAGAGGCATTGTGCCTGCTCTGTGGGGGAGAAGACTGGACAGTGAGAACTAGAGGTAGCATGAAATGCTCAGTTTGTGTCCTATCCTCCCATTTCTGAGGGCCCGCACAATATCCTACCTTCCCCAAAGCAGATCTAATAAGAGAGGAGGAATTATTTGCCACTGTGGTAAGGATCTGAAGGAATTTTGATTTTCTCTAATCTCGTCAGGTGAAATACTGGATCCAAGGGGACCCTGAGTCAGAAGCCAGGCTCCTTGATGTCAAACCACCATCAGCAGAGCTGAGTAACCTCTACCCCTTCTGTGATTATGAAATGCAAGTCTGTGCCTACAACGCCATGGGTGAAGGAGCCTACTCTGACATCATCCACTGCCGCACACTGGAGGATGGTGAGCTGCTCTGCACCCCGCTCCCTCCCCATGCAGAAGCGAGCTGGCAATCTGCACACACAGCTGGTAAAGGGCCCCAGCCTTGAGCTTCGGATAGCCTTGGGGCCAGGCATTGAGTGGCTCCTGCTGTGATGCCCCCTGTAGTCCTGGGAGGTCCGGACATCTGAGCAGTCTGGCTATGGGCTGCAAGATCAACAGCCTGTTTTTCAGAGCAGTTGGTGGAAAATAAGCAGCTGGTGGACAGTACAGTGGCTGTCTCTACAGTGCAAAGTGCCTGTGCTGGGTGTTAGTTGGGCTGCACCTCAGGCTCAAACCAGGCAATTTGTGCTTTGGAGGAGCTGTGCCCAACACCCTCCGGGGACTGGGCTGCTCAGCTCTGTGCGTGACTGAGCCTTGCAGCTTCGGGAATCTCTAGGAGCTGAGTTTATTCAAACCCGCTCTCTCATTAGCCATGTCCCTTCCCCTTCCTCCAGGGCTGTCCAGCCCTCTCTCATGCTTCCTGTAACACAGACTCTTTGCTCTTGCCTTTCTAGTTCCCAGTGAGCCTGGCCGCCTGGCCTTCAATGTTGTGTCCTCCACTGTGACGCAGCTGAGCTGGGCTGAGCCTGCAGAAACCAATGGGGAGATCACGGCTTATGAAGTCAGTTATGGACTCGTTAATGAGGACAACAGTAAGAGCTCATTTTCTGAGTGGGTCAGTTGTGGCAGCTCAGCCAGCTTGAGTGGCTGGAGTGCGCTTGTTGTGGGCTGTGCTGGTCTTAAAGTTACAGCAGAACCAGAATGGCTCCAAGCACTCTTCTTGCAAGAGCTGGGATTTGGAGAGGTTGCTTCTAGATGGAGGGAGCACAGAAAATTATCACTAAGGATTTAGTCATGTAAATCCCTGAACACTCTTAGTTCCCATTCACTTCCGTAGTGTTTTGTGTTGTTTCTCACCTTAAAAGTTTAGTCCATAAGTCTAGACCTAGCACCATGGTGCCTGAAAGGTGCTACTTAGTGACAGCAGCTGGCACATGAGCAACAGGACATCTCTGCTGTAGGTTGACTTCAGCATTCAGTTTGGGAATTTCCCCTGAGACAATGTTATGCCTGTCGTGAGCAGCCCAAATAGTTCTCTGCACCTTGTCCCACAGCCAGACTGTGTCCTGACACGAAGCCTCAGTGAGTCTCTTGGTCCAGGGAGAGGTGCTGTGGGGTTCTCTCTGTCTTGTGACCTTGTGGGGAATATATGTACCTGTTTTTGCAGTACCCATTGGACCAATGAAGAAGGTGCTGGTTGAAGATCCAAAGAAGCGCATGGTGCTTATAGAAAACCTGCGGGAGTCCCAACCCTATCGCTACATGGTGAAGGCTAGGAATGGTGCTGGCTGGGGGCCTGAGAGAGAAGCCACCATTAACCTTGCTACACAACCCAAGCGCCCGATGTCCAGTGAGTTACTGCCCTGCCTGGGTGG